TAGGAGATAACACCTATTAAAATATGGTACGTGGAACTAGAACAGTCTACCCCAGTGAGCGAAATAAAGGGTTCAGTTCGACATTCCAACCACCTGAAGAAGGTCGGAGCGTACAACGACCGAAACGTTGTAATAAATATAGCGACAAAGACGAGAACAATAGTCCGAATAATGTTAATAACGTCTCAGGACTTGTTTCTTCATTATGTGTCCTGGAAATCTCAGCAGTTGATTTCTAATTTTAAATACCAGTTTCATTGTAGTTTCCATTTTCCTTGAAAAAATATTCGTTGCTCAAATTTTCTCCACATTAGTTAACAGAACCACATATCTTTCTTCAAGACGTTGGCCAGCATTCACAGATATATTTGATTTGATTTGTTTGTTTAACGGCATGTCAATTTCTTATGGGTCATTTCATGCTGAAATGTTATTCTCCTTTCACAATAGAATACATGGTAGCTGATACTCAGCTTTTGTGTAGTTACATCTTTGCGTTGACATAATTACAAGAGGCGGTGATACGTCTGTTTTACGTACTAGTTTTGCTATATTTTGGAGTACAGTTTGATTTATGGAATTGTCGGATATTATATGAATTAATATCATGAAAATATCCCTTCCTGGTTGTGGATATAGACTACATTCTATAGCAAGACCTATGAGTAGGAGGTTTTATGGAGTGTTGAAGTACTTCTTAAATGCTGTTGTTCTCAGCTCTACCCTACTCGGGGTGGTATCATTTCTTAGGGTTCCAGTAAATAGTTAACCCAAAAGCTGGGATCAAAACACTATGAAACTGTAAAGATAGGTTTTTATAGTAAAAATACCAGCAATACATTTTTGAAAGAAATATTACCAGCAATAGATTTGACTCTAAACAAAAACCCTCTTTACAAAAATACGACAGTGAAACCTGATCTACAAACTGATTTCATACAAAGAATACATATTTTATTCAAATCTTGTCCGCATTAAATAACCTATTGCGGTTGATATGCCGTAAAACGAAATAAACCAAACCAATGAAAGAATTCTTTCATGTTGGTTGTTTGGTTGGCTGATTTTGTTTAGCGGCACATCAACACCTCTATGGGTCATTAAATGCCGAAATATTTTGAACACAATTTTATGGCTTCAACTAAATATACTTTGATTGCAATTGTATGCCTTCAACTACAGAAACAATGTATTGCTGGTCATTTTACTATAAAATATATTGTTGGTAATTCGACTATAGAATTGTATTGCTGGTCGTTTTGTTTAAGTATGTATTGTTGGTATTTTTCCCGATAAATAAGTATTGTTGGTATTTTTTTTCTATAAGAATATATTGCTGATAATTTTATTTATATATTCATGGTGTTTTGTTTTTGTTTAAGGGTCCATAGCTGAGAACCTAACTGGTGTTACCATCCCGTGTCAGGGTGAACCTGGGAACAAGAGCAATTAAGAGCTGGTTCCACGCTCCTCAAAATCAGGCGTCTTGCTGCCTGATATAGTATAATTCCATACACAGGAATCATAACAATGGAAAAAAATAATATACAAAACCCCGAATCAAACAAGGACAAAAGAAGAACGCCCATCACAACCCAAGAGAGATCATACCCCAACTTCCTTACGGAAACATCTAAAGTCTTTAAATCTAACAAGTCAACCTACAGAACAATCAACTTCAAAGATTGACACGGAAAACAGGTTTAGTTTTTTGGGAACCGATGAGCCGATCACTAAAAACAAATAAAAAAAGAGCAATAAATCCAATTCAGACAAATTACACATCAAACAATGAAATTACAAAATAATGCAACCCTACAGTGTAATTGCAGAGGAGTCCCGGCTAATTATGAGGAACTTCAACAACTTCTGACCAACCATAACCTCAAAATAGTTTGCCTACAAGAAACCTTCTTAAAAGAAACAACTTCCATTAAATTCAAACAGTACCATATTTATTAATACTACATTGGGCTTTTTTTTTTCACTGCAAATAAAACTGGTTGTGAAAAAGTACATCAATTGGCTATGCAAATGAATTAGTTTATTTAATATAAATAACTAACTCATGCCAGATAGAAACATTTGAAAGCATTGACTTGAGTAAGAATAAACAAGCTGTGGTTTAAGGATGTTATCCTCAAATTATGTTTACAAGGTATATATATATTTAATATATATGTGTAAACTGGATCTGGCATTAAATAACCCATAGTGGTTGATATGCCATAAAACCCCAACCAACCAACCAACAGGACTCGTTGATATATAGCTGGTTACAGAGTCATTCAGCTTTTTTCTTAGCTTCTAATATTTTGTTAATTTTCAGGAAGGCATGTTTCCCTATTCAACTGAAACTTCTGATTTTTTATACATTTCCGATTTTTGTTGCTGTCTTGCCCAGATAATTAAATTTGTGTTTCTGCTTGATTTTTACATCCCTAATACGGACACATGTCAAGTGGTTAGAACATTTGTTTTCTGACCATAATAACCGGGTTCGAATCTCACTATGGTCGACTTGTCAAGAAGGTGAGTTCTGGAAGTTATCGGTCTGGAGAAGGCAATCGTAGCACGTGGCACCTTTGGAAAGTGCTTGAAAACCTTACCACGGGTTGACCCAAGCGTTGTGAGTAAAAGTGAGTTGACGGAATCCATTGAAAGCCGTCAGCTAGCACAAAATCTCAAGTCATCGAGACCGAGAGTTTGATCGTACTAGCCTTGTTTATCAGACGCTAGATAACGCGATCTCTCCCAGAAACAGTAGGTCCGCAGTACATAGTTGCAGTATAAAACACAGGTGGGCTCTGTGGATATCGAAAAACACAAATGTGCCTGAGCAGGCGTCTGCAATAGGGATTAGCTAGCCGCCCCAGTAGACTAAGCATCCTGGGATCCGAGTAGCCAGCCATCAATCCAGTACGTACTTAACACCTGTAGCTTATTCTTCTGCTGGCAGTTATATATTCTGTCTTGTTACAGGTATTAATTAGTCCTTTATTCTAGCGTTTCTTCCCTTTAAAAAGATCGTTTAAGAGATTTTTTTAGATTTTCTTTTGAGTCTCGTAACAATGCATTTTAATCCGCCTGTCTTATGCCATTAATATATTATGTGTGCCGATATATAAATCCTTCTTGATCTGTTGGTTCTCGTCGGATAGCAAACTTGAGTCCATTGTAATAAATTACTTTACAACCTTGAGATCTTTAGAAAATGTTCGTCAATATTCCCCTAAAGTAACTGTTTAAGTATCTTTATCAGCGTTGTGTCGATCACACTATTGCTGTTAATGCTTTCTCCGCGTTTTCTCCTTCTCTTGAGTCATAGTCATTTTCTCCTAGATTAATAGGCTTAGTGTATTCCGAAAACGTAAGCATTATATTTAATGAATATACCTGAAGACATACCTGTTTCTTAAACAGTGTATATTTAAATCTAGTGAGCTGTGAAATGTTTCCTTGGTTGATTGCTCTAAAGCAGACAAGGATTTGTGGCTTGTCCAATAATGTTCGAACCCTGACCGAAGGCATATTTTGCTTATTCGGACTCTCATATGTACCGGCTGGTACATTAAATATACGGAATATTTACTCAAATACGTATATCGAACAAGTAATAAAAAGATATGTCGTAATTTATTTTTTGTTTGTTCCTTTCTCTGCTACATTTTTTTAATCAATTCAACCCAGACAAGGCGATAATGCCACTAAGACGTAAGGAACTACTCGGAGGGAAAGAAAATGAAAAGAATTTAAAACGAAATTTAAACCCAACCCTAAACAAGAAACAAGAGATAAACTTCTACTCCTGTTCAAAAACCAGAGAGGAGAGTGAACCGGACGATAGCCGAATCTATGACTTAAACGGAATATTTACTGGATACACGCGCCTGAGTAGATATAGCGGTGTATTTTTAACTGTGTACATCTACCGGCCTGTGTATTTGAGATTCGTAATAAAGAAAATGCGCCTTTCTACCGGTCATCCCTTATAAACAGCGTATATAGCAATATAGAATAATGTGGGATTATAAATCTAAAAAAAAAATTCATTGTCCATATAATGATGCCTAAAGATCACATCGCAGTAATACAACAACGATTTTTAGTGCACTTATTCCTCTTCTTAGATACATTGACAAATAATAAATCATTAATGGTATACTATGAGAAGATAGTTGATGTCCGATTAAAGAGGAAACCAAAGTTCTATAACGACATTATTTTATATCCGATAAGAAATCTAACGCTGTTGGATCAAGCGGATTTTGTTGAAACGTGGATATTTTGTTTTGCGGCCCAGGCGAGGGCCAATAAGATAAAAGACAACAAAGTTTCAGGAGGTGAAAACGAGATTTCAGATCTCTTTTTGGCATCGGGCGGCTGTGAGGCAATTAGAAAGATCTCCGTCATGGCGTATCCCAAAGAAATAAGGGGAATACTTCTACTTGACAGATTGGAAGACAACGCAACAGTATTATTTTATCTCTCTTTAGAGTGTGCTATCTGATACTTCCTAAGCCGTTTTCTTTCTTTCTTATATGTTAACCGAATCTATCAATTGCAAAAAGACAGAATGAATTGTTGTTAGCAAACGGAACAATCCAATATGCAAATTCCAAATTGGAGATACAAAAAAAAAAAACAAGCAAATCTAACAATTTAAATATCTAGTAAGTGTTTAAACAGAGAATGGAAAATCCGACATTGAAATCCAAAGGCGCATAGGGTTGCGAAAGATGCCTTCCAAAAACTAAACAATGTATTAAGAAAAAGAATTGTGTCGTCAGAAACAAAGAAAAGAGTACTGAACTGTTATGTGGCAGTGAAGGTTGGACAATATCTTCACAGATGAAGAGGAGACTTGAAGCAACAGTAATTTGTTTCTAATGAAGGCTTCTGAGATAACATGAACCGAACACGTGAAGAACGACATGCTCACATGTTTGGTCCAAGGTATTTTCAGTATTCACTCTCATATAGGCGGATTGATTTGGGAAATGGACAGACTTATAATCCAGTACTTATCCCTTTCTCTCTCTCTCTCTCTCTCTCTCTCTCTCTCTCTCTTTCACTCACGCACACTCCTTCAACTTTTCTCATCGCCAAATCCAGTCACCTCTTAGCTAGTTGAGCTAAATATTTAATACTAAAAGGAATTAAAATAATCAATGAAAATAAGTAATAAAAATGTTTCGCCTATATACAGTTGAATTAGCTAGATGTAACCGTATGCTTACATTTTCTTTTCTCGCACTTCTCTATTGTGGTACTCCATTCCAGCTTCATGCTTTCCAGGTAACTTAATTCTAAAACAATTTAAATACAATGTCAATCGCTATCTACTGTCCAGATTTCTCTTCTTTAATTCTCGCTTCTTAGCAAGGTTCCTGTTTCTAACTCTTCCACACCCAGTAACACCTTGCGTCTCCGTGGCTTGATTGGGTTTACATCCTTTAGTACCCTTTTCCTTGTATCTAAAGAAAGTTTTCTTGCTTCTTAATACTTTGCTTAGCTTTTGGATGTCTTCTTCCGCTATCATAATGCGTCTTCCTATATAAGTCACGCGCATCCCGTCTCCTGTTAAATCACTTCCCAAAATTGTGCACACCGTGTACAAGAAACACTTATATCTTAGAAATGATTAAAGATATCTTACTGGAATTCTCCGAGGGTTTTATGACAATACGGGATCATACTTTGAGCAATAACAATGCATAATTATTCTCCAAGCGGACTGATTTAGGAAATCTTCGGACCTATATATCCAGCCCTTATCCCTTTCTCTCTCTTTCTCTCTGGCTATCTCTCTCAGTCTATCTCTTTCTCTTTTTCAATCACGCACACACTTTCATCTTTTCCTTCATCGCCAAATCCATTCACTGCGAAAATGCCACCTTTTAGCTAGTTGAGTTAAATATTTAGTACTAAAAAGAATTAAAATAATCGATGAAAATAAGTGATAAAAATTGTCTCACCAATATACAGATGAGTTGATTAGAGGTAAGCGTACATTCTATACTAATAGTTTCTTTTCTCGCACTTGTCGCTTGTGGAACTCTCTTCTGGCGCCATGCTTTCCATCCAACTTTAATTTGAAAAAAATTAAATGTAACGTCAATCGCTATCTGACGTCTTTCTGATTACTCTTCCTCTGCACTCGCTCTTCAGCAATTGCTCATGTTTCTAACTCTTCCACATCTAGCGCCTCTGTGGCTTTATTGCCTTCCTTCGGATGAACTTGATTAAAAAAAATCATTAACGTGGGCTGTTTAATTAACGACCAAAATACAATTACCACCATAATACAAATACTAGTAGATAACACCAAAATAATCTACAGTACCCAATGCAAGGAAAGACTCGAATCTCCAGACGCTATTATTATATAAAATAAAAGGGATATATATATATATATATATATATATATATATATATATATATATATATATGTTGTTGTAGGATCCACCAAATTTACATAGTGGAGTACCGACCATATAAATATGGGTTGGTACCGGGAAGACGGGGAGGAAGAAGAGATGCAATCCAGAGACTCTGCCCGACTGCGATTAAGTCAACCCATTCTACAGGAACGGTCTTCCCAAGAATATACCAAACTATCTGTAAATATTGTGTACACGTTCTTGTGTCAATACATTTTGTGTTGTATTATTATTATTCCATGCTTTATTCAAATTTCAACATATGTATATGTGTGTGTGTGTGTATTTATGTATACTGTTTAATAAATAAACGGATCGTCTACTCAAATAAGGGTATCCACTAGAAATAACGTTTAAGTAATGAAATCTGTCGGATTAATAAATAAAATTTCCCCACTTCTTTAGAAATGGATGCCTGTGTGTGCGTTAAATGCAATGTCAATCACTATCTCCTCGGCCTTTTGGCTGGGGGTTTTGACAAGTAATGGATCGTTTCTTGGTGGAAGACTGAGATTCGATCAAGCTTTGACTAGCTTGGACTGGCTTCGGCCTGGACCTGTTAGGACAAGTTATGACCAGCTTTGACTAGGCTCTGACCAGCTTGGACAAGCTCTGACCAATATTTTGACCAGTGGCCTATGAGTGGAAACACTCGGGTCTCCCACGTTAATCGACCTTGTGTCATATCTTGATTTAGTGGGAATCAAGTAAATACCATTCTTCCCCTAATCTCGCTCCGTAGCAATGTTCCTGTTTCTAACTCTTCTAAAAACTAAACAATGTATTAAAAAAAAAAAAAAAAACAGAATATTATCGTTAGAAACAAAGAAAAGTGTACTGAACTGTTATGAGGCACGGAATGCTGGACAATATCCCCACAGATGACTTGACTTGACTTGAAGCAACAAAAATGAGGAGAACTGTCTTTGGGACAAAGAATTGTTTCTGTTGTGTAGGGAGAAGTCAACAGAAGCGTTTTTAGCACTAATTAGCATAATTCATATACATATATTCATATAATTAACATAATTCATATAAATATATTCATATAATTAGCATAATTCATATAAAATAAACGTGCATTCAAAAGTATGGATATATATCAAAGTAAACAGATAGGAAGATACGGGGATGGAGAATGAGGTTGGGAGAAGATAAAACAGTAAATAAGATGAAAAAAAAAAGAGTGAGAAAAAGGGATGAAAGATAGAGAGTAACCTACGAAGAGAATAGGAGAGTTATCTTTGTAGTGGGAGATCAAAGACAGTCGTGCCACGGTAGGGGGAAAACTAGGCAGACAAAACGCCGTAAAAAGTGTCTAAAATGGCAGGAAGGAAAAAGGTTTTTAAAAAAATGCGTATTTAGGAGTGTTATGTTTGGCTGAGTCTGAAGGAGAGAAAAGAAAAACGGACGATAGAGCAACGAGTGCGTCCTCGTCTAACAATCAATTCATCTCATTCAGTTCGTGTTTACACATGGATAACTGACATCAAAAGATCTTAAAACGAGAGTCCCAGTCAGGATGACAGGTAGGACTGGTAACAAGAAACTTGAATTCATCGTGTTGTTTTTGCTTTTTTTTTTTTTTTTTATTCTACGTTTTGTTTTACTTTTTAAAGAGGTAATCGATACTGATTGAATCAGAAGAGTTTAAGGTCACGTCGCTTGAAGAGAGAAAATACGAGTTTAACATCGGCAAACTTTAATTAGATAAAGGAATACTGAATAAGGTTTTCGTTTTGCTAATGTTTCAGTCGCCCGCCTTAAACACAAAAGCTACAAAAAAATAACGTACTTACTATTTTCCTGGAAATTCACTTGCGTATTTAACAGTCCCCGTTCGAAAACCACCACCCCAACAAAGAAAAAAAAAAAAAAAACAAACAAAAAAAAAAAAACAGAAAGGAAGCAAGGTTTAAAATTTTCGATTTGCTAAGATTATCGGCCTGTCTCATTTTATATATACAAAAGGATTTTTCAATATTTGATTTCTTCACAAACTTCACTAACATAATGAAGCATACTAAAGAAGAAGATGCTTGATTTTAGGTGCACGTGAATGCTTAAGTCTAAAGCGACCCTATCATCACCTCCCCGTCAAGATTAAAAGTGACAGCAGGCGAATGCTAAGAAGCAATGAAGGGCTATTCTAAGGTCGGATACAACGGATGAACATCTTGCAATTACGGTAGATCAAACAGGACTTGGTTTACATGTAGGCCTACATATGCTAATAAGCCTTTTACCCGTAGCTTTGGGGGAAAATTAATAGTTCATTTTCTCTCTGAATTTCTGGGATGAGGCGTTATCATTATTCACCTTATTTGGATTTTGTTATATAGGAATAAAGTGTCGCTGCCGGCACTTGGGTTTGAACATATATCGCCAGTGAGCAAACACAGGCGATCCCATTATTGAATCAAGTAGACCATGTGACCGTAAGCGTAGTATGGGTCACCTAGTGAGGATCGAACTCATTTTTGTCGTAACTGATCTAGCGTGACAAGCTTGCTAGCCATTACACCACATCGAGTTGTCCAACGTATGTTTCCATGTGATATGGCCGTAAGTGTTTGTGAGTTTTCGTGTATATGTTTACGGACATGGTACGATAAAACACTGCTTGAGAATACCAGGTGACGTAAGCTTGGATGTGCAGTTGGTGTGATGGATAGCGGCTTGGAATGGGAAAACTGGAAGCCGTTCGAATTCCAGTCGAGTCCGTTATATTTATTTATTATTCTCAGGTAATGTTTCCAGTTGATTGGAATAAACCTACGTCTTGAACCTTTGCAATCCACTTTTGCCACATTTGATTATACCAGGAACCGTCTTGATAAGTGTTATGGGATCTTACCCATAATAATAATAATGGACTATTCCATACTTAATAAATACTGCGCCTCAGGAGTAGGCAAGGGGTCAGTAGTTCAAGTCGAGTGAAGAGTCGAGCCAGAGGCAGTCCGAAACAGAGTCGCGTTCTGACAATTACTGCAAAGCATTGGAATAGTGATACTGGTCGAGAGTACATTGTTTTCTCTACTAAACCTGATTGTTCATACTAACACTTCTACTTCTCTGTATATATTCCTGTTTGTAATATATCTGTGTTATTCCATACCCGTGTTCGAGTTCTTCTTTGTTGGTTCTAACTTGGATTATCACCGTGGTACAGGGAACCGGGCCATAACAATGAAATACGGGAGTTAGTACATTTTTTTTTTTGGCTTTGAATAAAATATATCTCCTCAATCTCTCTCTCTCTATCACTCTGCAAATATCACTCTTTCTCATCTTCCTCATCTCTGCACATTACTTTCTTTTCTCTCTCTCTCTCTTTCTCTTTTTCCCTCTATCTCGATCTGCATCTCTTTCTAGCTCTGCATATCTCTTCCTTTCTCTTTTTACTCCCTACATTTTGCATATCCCTCATTTTATCTCTCCTCCACTTCCCGTCTCGTAATATCTCTCCATTGCTCTCTCGCTATATCTCCCTATGAATACTTCTCAGTTTATTTTTCTTCCATCTTTGAACATATCTTAAGTTCCCTCCATCTCTCTTCCATCTTTGAATATCTCTTCAGTTCCCTCCATCTCTCTTCAATCTTAGAACATCTGTTCGATTCCCTCCATCTCTCTTCCATTTTTGAATATCTCTTCAGTTCCCTCCATCTCTCTTCCATCTTTGAATATCTCTTTAGTTCCCTCCATCTCTCTTCCATCTTTAAACATATCTTCAGATCCCTCCATCTCTCTTCCATCTTAGAACATCTTTTCGGTTCCCTCCATCGCTATTCCATCTTTGAATAATATCTTTAGTTCCCTCCATCTCTCTTCCATCTTTGAATATCTCTTCAGTTCCCTCCATCTCTCTTCCATCTTTGAATAACTCTTCAGTTCCCTCCATCTCTCTTCAATCTTAGAACATCTGTTCGATTCCCTCCATCTCTCTTCCATCTTTGAATATCTCTTCAGTTCCCTCCATCTCTCTTCCATCTTTAAATATCTCTTTAGTTCCCTCCATCTCTCTTCCATCTTTGAATAACTCTTCAGTTCCCTCCATCTCTCTTCCATCTTTGAATATCTCTTTAGTTCCCTCCATCTCTCTTCCATCTTTGAATATGTCTTCAGTTCCCTCCATCTCTCTTCCATCTTTGAATATCTCTTTAGTTCCCTCCATCTCTCTTCCATCTTTGAATATCTCTTCAGTTCCCTCCATCTCTCTTCCATCTTTGAATAACTCTTCAGTTCCCTCCATCTCTCTTCAATCTTAGAACATCTGTTCGATTCCCTCCATCTCTCTTCCATCTTTGAATATCGCTTCAGTTCCCTCCATCTCTCTTCCATCTTTGAATATCTCTTCAGTTCCCTCCATCTCTCTTCCATCTTTGAATATCTCTTTAGCTCCCTCCATCTCTCTTCCATCTTTGAATAACACTTCAGTTCCCTCCATCTCTCTTCCATCTTAGAACATCTGTTCGGTTCCCTCCATCTCTATTCCATCTTTGAATATCTCTTTAGTTCCCTCCATCTCTTTTCCATCTTTGAATATCTCTTCAGTTCCCTCCATCTCTCTTCCATCTTTGAATAACACTTCAGTTCCCTCCATCTCTCTTCCATCTTAGAACATCTGTTCGGTTCCCTCCATCTCTATTCCATCTTTGAATATCTCTTTAGTTCCCTCCACCTCTCTTCCATATTTGAATATCTCTTCAGTTCCCTCCATCTCTCTTCCATCTTAGAACATCTGTTCGGTTCCCCCATTCTCTCGTCCATCTTTGAATATCTCTTCAGTTCCCTCCATCTCTCTTCCATCTTTGAATATCTCTTCAGTTCCCTCCATCTCTCTTCCATCTTTGAATAAGTCTTCAGTTCCCTCCATCTCTCTTCAATCTTAGAACATCTGTTCGATTCACTCCATCTCTCTTCCATCGTTGAATATCTCTTCAGTTCCCTCCATCCCTCTTCCATCTTTGAATATCTCTTTAGTTCCCTCCATCTCTCTTCCATCTTTGAATAACACTTCAGTTCCCTCATTCTCTCTTCCATCTTTGAATAACTCTTCAGTTCCTCCATCTCTCTTCAATCTTAGAACATCTGTTCGATTCCTCCATCTCTCTTCCATCTTTTGAATATCTCTTCAGTTCCTCCATCTCTTTCCATCTTTGAATATCTCTTCAGTTCCTCCATCTCTCTTCCATCTTTGAATAACTCTTCAGTTCCTCCATCTCTCTTCAATCTTAGAACATCTGTTCGATTCCCTCCATCTCTCTTCCATCTTTGAATATCTCTTCAGTTCCCTCCATCTCTTCCATCTTTGAATATCTCTTTAGTTCCTCCATCTCTCTTCCATCTTTAAACATATCTTCAGTTCCTTCATCTCTCTTCCATCTTAGAACATCTGTTCGGTTCCTCCATCTCTATTCCATCTTTGAATATCTCTTTAGTTCTCTCAATCTCCATTCCATCTTTGAATATCTCTTCAGTTCCCTCCATCTCTCTTCCATTTTTGAATAACTCTTTAGTTCCCTCCATCTCTCTTCCATCTTTGAATATCTCTTCAGTTCCCTCCATCTCTCTTCTATCTTTGAATATCTCTTCAGTTCCCTCCATCTCTCTTCCATCTTTGAATATCTCTTCAGTTCCCTCCATCTCTCTTCAATCTTAGAACATCTGTTCGATTCCCTCCATCTCTCTTCCATCTTTGAATATCTCTTCAGTTCCCTCCATCTCTCTTCCATCTTTGAATATCTCTTCAGTTCCCTCCATCTCTCTTCCATCTTTGAATAACTCTTCAGTTGCCTCCATCTCTCTTCAATCTTAGAACATCTTTTCGATTCCCTCCATCTCTCTTCCATCTTTGAATATCTCTTCAGTTCCCTCCATTTCTCTTCCATCTTGGAACATGTCTTCTGTTCCCTCCATTTCTCTTCCATCTTGGAACATCTGTTCGGTTCCCTCCATCTCTCTTCCATCTTTGAATAACACTTCAGTTCCCTCCATCTCTCTTCCATCTTAGAACATCTGTTCGGTTCCCTCCATCTCTATTCCATCTTTGAATATCTCTTTAGTTCCCTCCATCTCTCTTCCATCTTTGAATATCTCTTCAGTTCCCTCCATCTCTCTTCCATCTTAGAACATCTGTTCGGTTCCCTCCATCTCTTCCATCTTTGAATATCTCTTTAGTTCCCTCCATCTCTCTTCCATCTTTGAATATCTCTTCAGTTCCCTCCATCTCTCTTCCATCTTTGAATATCTCTTCAGTTCCCTCCATCTCTCTTCAATCTTAGAACATCTGTTCGATTCCCTCCATCTCTCTTCCATCTTTGAATATCTCTTCAGTTCCCTCCATCTCTCTTCCATCTTTGAATATCTCTTCAGTTCCCTCCATCTCTCTTCCATCTTTAAACATATCTTCAGTTCCCTTCATCTCTCTTCCATCTTAGAACATCTGTTCGGTTCCCTCCATCTCTATTCCATCTTTGAATATCTCTTTAGTTCTCTCCATCTCCATTCCATCTTTGAATATCTCTTCAGTTCCCTCCATCTCTCTTCCATCTTTGAATAACACTTCAGTTCCCTCCATCTCTCTTCCATCTTTGAATAACACTTCAGTTCCCTCCATCTCTCTTCAATCTTAGAACATCTGTTCGATTCCCTCCATCTCTCTTCCATCTTTGAATATCTCTTCAGTTCCCTCCATCTCTCTTCCATCTTTGAATATCTCTTCAGTTCCCTCCATCTCTCTTCCATCTTTGAATATCTCTTCAGTTCCCTCCATCACTCTTCCATCTTTGAATAACTCTTCAGTTCCCTCCATCTCTCTTCAATCTTAGAACATCTCTTCAGTTCCCTCCATCTCTATTCCATCTTTGAATATCTCTTCAGTTCCCTCCATCTCTCTTCCATCTTTGAATAACTCTTTAGTTCCCTCCATCTCTCTTCCATCTATGAATAACTCTTCAGTTCCCTCCATCTCTCTTCCATCATTGAATATCTCTTCAGTTCCCTCCATCTCTATTCCATCTTTGAATATCTCTTTAGTTCCCTCCATCTCTCTTCCATCTTTGAATATCTCTTCAGTTCCCTCCATCTCTCTTCCATCTTTGAATAACTCTTCAGTTCCCTCCATCTCTCTTCCATCTTTGAATATCTCTTCAGTTCCCTCCATCTCTCTTCCATCTTTGAATATCTCTTCAGTTCCCTCCATCTCTATTCCATCTTTGAATATCTCTTTAGTTCCCTCCATCTCTCTTCCATCTTTGAATATCTCTTTAGTTCCCTCCATCTCTCTTCCATCTTTGAATAACTCTTCAGTTCCCTCCATCTCTCTCCCATCTTGGAACATCTCTTCAGTTCCGTCCATTTCTCTTCCATCTTGGAACATCTCTTCAGATCCCTCCATTTCTCTTCCATCTTGGAACATCTCTTCAGATCCCTCCATTTCTCTTCCATCTTGGAACATGTCTTCTGTTCCCTCCATTTCTCTTCCATCTTGGAACATCTCTTCAGTTCCCTCCATTTCTCTTTCTATCACTGCATAGCTTTCCCTTCACTATATTCTCCAACTTCTCTCCCTCTCTCTTACTCTCTATTTATATCTCTTCCTTTCTATTTCTCCATCTCTCCATCACTCTCTACTACTTTGCTCCATTTCCTTTCCGTTTCTTTCAAAATTTCTCTCCCATTCCAATTTCTCCTCATCTGTTCATATCTCTTTTCTATCTCTCCGTGTCTCTCTCTATATTTAATACTGACATGATAAATATAATTCATTTTCAATTAAAATCAGGGAATTACTTTAACATCAAGGAAAAAAAAGAATTTTTTCTTGAAAATCCAATATTTCGAAGTCCCTAAAAGCATTGCATAATGTCTACTTGTCAGCGACTTTCGTGGCAGGGGGTTGTGCATGCGTGTTTCAGATTTGGAGAAATTAATGGACGCTGCCTCTGGATGAGAGTTTGATTAGCGGAACGGACTTGTTTTTTTTTTTTTTTAATATTTGGCTCCAGATAATTTATCTATATTTTTATCCGTTAATACATTGGTATGCTAACAGTCTGCATATTAATATGTACAGAGAAAATAAATATATTTTATTAGTATCTGCTCATACGCTTCGTATAATTAATATCTATCTATCTATCTATCTATCTATCTATCTATCTATCTATCTATCAATTAATCTCAGTTATCTATCTATCAATCAATTAATCTCAGTCATCTATCTATCTATCTATCTATCTATCTATCTATCTATCTATCAATTAATCACAGTCATCTATCTATCTATCTATCTAATTATCTGTCTCGGTCATCTATCTATCTATCTATCTATCTATCTAACAGTTAGGTATGTATATATGTGTGTATCTATTTATCAATCAATCTCAGTTATCTATCTATCTATTGTTCTTATCAATCTGTCGACCTATATATCTATCAATATATGCAAGCATACCCATATATATATTTGTGTGTGTGTGTGCGTGTTTGTGTGTGTGTGTGTGTGTGTGTGTGTGTGTGTGTGTGTGTGTGTGTGTGTGTCTGAGTGTGTTTGTTCATATATATCTATCTTCCGTCGAGTGATTAGAACTTTCTCTTTTTCTGGGCATGAGACTCAGTTTTCTAATCTCACCATGCTCGATTTGTCATGAATGTGCCTTCTTGATGTTACAGGCCTTGATGGGCTATCCCAGCATGGCATACATTTGGAAAATACGGAAAAATCACACATCATGTTGACCACCCAAGCCTTCTGAGTGAAGTAAGGTAAATGGAATAGTTTATCCATGGTTGTGCAAATCAACGTGACAGTGGGTTTGGTGTACAGACCTTTGTTAAAATTACAAGCGCGGGACAAATTATAACTCAGGATCCGCTCAGTATATTTGATGTATAAACCACAGTCTAACGATGGGGGTATTGAAAAAGCACAAATCTTACTGAGTATGCGCCTGCTACAATCCGCCCAAGCATACCACTGACCAGTATATTGAATTTCATTTCCCTCTCTCTCCTCTCTCTCTCTCTCTCTCTCTCTCTCTATATATATATATATATATATATATATATATATATATATATATATATTGTGGAGTGATTTCGCAGTGGAGGCTTGTATTTGTACTAAATCGGTCCTAAAATAGGTTCGATGTACAAAACGTTAGAACTTGATATAATAGGTATTACGCAGAGTAATCTTGTTGTGGTCGCTAATACTTTCGTATTCGACTAACTGTCGACTACTGTCATCCGACATCGACTGACCCTCGTTTCTCTTACTACTCCTACTTATATTAGGTGGAAGATTCTATTAACTATAGAATAGGTGTGTTTCAACATAACAATATATATATATATATATATATATATATATATGTGTGTGTGTATGTGTGTGTGTGTGTGTGTGTCTGTGTATGAGTAGGCAGATCAAAGGAATCTTCAGAAATTAATGAAAAATATAAAATAATATAAATATATATAGTATAAAAATAATAAGAGATAAACTCAAAGATATGAAAGAGCGATAATTCAGAATATAAAGTGTATTAAATTAAAAAATATGTCAGAAAAGAATATTATGGGAAATATAAAAAAAGTTTAATATAAAGTGGGGAATAAATATCATATGGTGAATACATCCAAATTAATATATATCAAATTAAATTCATATTAATTAATACCCATCCACAAAAAAAAAATTATATTTCAAATTTAATATATAATATAATATAATATACAAAAATTTAAAATTATAAAAAATGAAGGAAAAGTGCCTTAAGAATAATGGAATTAAAAGATGTCTTTAGAATCAATAGATAATACTATATAACAAAATAATATATAAATAAAATAATTAATTAATTAAATAATAGTAACATAAAATTTTAAATAAATAAAAATATTACAAAAAAAAACCCTGAACAGAAATTAAAATATTTGATACAAAAACAAAAATAAAACCAAAAAATATATAAACCACTTAAAAAATTATACTAAGATAAATATTCAAATGCCACTTCTTCAAACTTCATAATACAATATATATATTAATACAAAACACTTCATTACTACATATCTGTATTATATATTAAACTATGGACCGCATATAAAATATAAAAAAACCTCCATAATATTAAAAAAAATAACTAAATATTTAAAATTAGATATCCAATTGAGAATAAATATAAAAAATTATAATAAAAATATATATAAACCAACATATGAAGGAGGCCATATAAAACATATAATTATATATTATTACATAATAATAAATTAAATCAAAACGTATATTAAGGTATATTATCATTAATATATTATATTGCAGCGAAAGTATAATTCAATAAAAATACATTAAGGTAAGAAAAAAGGTAAAATAATGCCAATAACGTTAATATAAATGTATTGTTGATAATCACCAACAATAGTAATTTAGTGATAGAGAAAAGATATTTTTGTAAATTGTAACAGAAAAGAAATATGGGAAGGATATATATATATATATATATATATATATATATATATATATATATATATATATATATATATATTCCCTTCCCATATATATATAGAAAAGGGAGAAGAGGAATATAAATGTTAAACTTTTTAAAGGATGACAGTTCACTCAAGTTTAGTCAGAACTGAAGAGGAGCAGGAATTCACAGGTAATTTCCAAAGGATGACAATTCCTGAAAATTCGTTAAAGATCTAGATAAGTATAAATTTACTGTCGAGACGACATTTATAAAATAGATTATTCGTTTGGTTTAACAGTATCATTTTCTTTCTAAATTTAATAATCCGAATTTTTCTTGTAGGTATGCATTACATCTACCTTTAAAACTATTAGGAGTGTGGGCAAACCCTATAATTTTCCAGTCAATCTTAGGGTTCAGTTTATTCTCCCTCAATTCCCAAGCTTTTTGGGAAATGCAGTTTGGAATGTCAATTTTGGGTTGGAAAATGAGTGCCGATGGGTATACAGACGTTGCTTCCATTCACCAGCGAAAATTCCAGTATAAATATTGTGGTTGCTCTTTTTTCTATTTAGATTAAATGGTTGTACCGTAAATTACATTCGAGGCTCTGCATTTCCCTTCTACTAGACAGAGTTCACCATTTCTACAGTTGGGGTATCCATCCTAGGTGAGTTGTTGATGGCATAGAATTAAGGAAAAATTTATTATGGGAATCAGTAATTTTATATATATCATTTGTACAAGAATAACTCATTTTAATCATTTTCCTATCGAAGGCTGTACTTAGGGGATGGTTATTTTTTAAATTTTTGTTTATAAGTTTTAAGAAGATTTGTCCTATGCTAATAATATATATATATATATATATATATATATATATATATATATTTTTAGGATATTAAAATATGTTAAATATTAAAATATGTTAAAAATCGCTACACAATTACAATTATGATTCAACACCATAATTGTGTCTCTTCAGGGGATGTTAAACTACCGGCCCGTGCTTCCATGTTTGAGTAGTAAATAAATGTAAAAAGTGCTCTACTGTGAAGTGTCCGAAATATCCAGGTAAAATGAGAACAAATAAATAATATTTAGCTCTACTATGTATTAAGACCTCTTTTAAATTAAATATTACGTACAGCGGAATCATACTCCATTTGTTCTTATGCCTCATTAAATAATTTAAACAAGTTCGTCTACTTTTTTAAAAACGATCCTATCATAAATACGTATACATTTCTTAGTATCCTTAATATATATATATATATATATATATATATATGTGTGTGTGTGTGTGTGTGTGTGTGTGTGTGTGTGTGTGTGTGTGTGTGTATATGTGTGTGCCTCAATGGGTGTGCGGGCGTGCATGTATGTTTCCGTAAACATGAGTGGGGTCACGACGACAATTTTTTCTCCCACTTCCATAGGGACACTAATACACGCAACCTACATAAATCCAAAATTTTAAGAAATTAATCAGTTTGTCTGACGATGGCAAAAGCGTGAAACCCAGGGTCACAAGCTCACATCAATCCAACTAAATATTTTAGCTCTATCTATATATATATATATATATATATATATATATATATATATATATATATATGTAGATAGATAGATAGATAGATAGATAGATAGATAGATAGATATGATTGTGAATGAATAAGAAAATGGAAACATTCTTACGGAGTGAGAACAATAACCCAAAAAATTGAATAACGATTGCATTTAAATATTTGAAAATCAAAGACGGCTGAAAAGCAAGTAGCCCGAATAAAGTTCCACAGGCAAGAAGTGCAAGAAACGACACTGTTACCGGTTACAGTTATCTATTTGCAGCCGTAAAAGTATGTAAACTATATGGCAATCTTGTAGCACCATTGAACACACGTATCCGGGCACCAGAAAAAAAGCCTGTCAGAGCAGTAGCCACGAAAATATTTTTGGAAAAAACATAGGGAAGCCACGTTATGTCGGCGAGGAAGTGACTGAAACCGAAATCTCAAGTCAGGATCGGTTATATTGCAGATCCTTCCCTGAATTTTGTCAAGAAT